ATGTGGGTGGATGAAGATGTGACATGGGTATGATGTGGGTGTGACGCTGGTGTGATGCAGATGTGAGGCGGGCGTGCTGCAGGTGTGACACGAGTGTGATGCAGACTGGGTGTGTTGTGATGTGGGTGTGCTGTCCTCGTCTCCCGTGCCCACCTGTCTGGGGAATGGGGGTTCAACAGAGCCTTGCTCGGGGCCAGGAGTCACACGCGCCCCAGGAGGGCACCTGGTGGCCACTTCAGGAAGGGGGTTCTGACCTCACCCGTGGGCTCGCTCTGCCCGTGGAACGGTCTGTGAGCTGTGTCCGGCTGGTGCAGGGCTGAGTTTCCTCACACTGTCGGCTGAAGCTCTCCACAGAGGCCTGACAGGCACAGCCTCTCCTGGCCCCAATCCCAGAACTTGGGGAACCCGGGGCGAGTGTGGCCGTGCTCCCCAGGACCCTGAGAAGCCGGTGAGTGGGACATGAACAAAGCCAGGGCCCTAACGAGCGGGCGGCGTAGGCTGTCCGCGCTCATTCTCGAGTGTGTGTGTTTGTCTACACAGCGGGTTGTCAAACACTATTATTTCTCTCAATGTCCTTTTGATGTGACTGTGATGAGAAAGACCAGTCCCGGCGCGCAGAGCAAAATGAGCCATTTGAAGGCCTGCGCTTGGTGTTTATTTTCCTTGAAGATGCAGTTTCCACGCCCCCGTTGGTGAAAACGAAGCCTTGTTATATATACGTGTTATATATGTGTGTGTTATATATACGTGTGTGGGGGTGTGGGGCGGGCAGGGGTGTAGGGATGTAGGGAGTGGGGGTGGGCGTGTGTGTGGGTGTTGATGGGGTGTGGGGTGTGTGTGGGAATTGGGTGTGTGGGGTGTGTGGGGCTGGGGATGCGGGGAGTGTGTGTGGGTGGGTGTGTCTGTGGGGTGTGTCCGTGTGCGTGTACATGCGAGAAGGGCTGTGGGGTGGGGGTGAGTGCACCGTGTGTGCATGGAGGCACGTCTGTTCTAAACCAGGCAGCACAGATGCACACGGGGACTCAGAGGCACCGTTTGGCCATGGTCAGGACCCCAGATGTCAGTGGCTGCGCCATCCCCCTCCTCCCCCGTCTCACAGTAAGTGCGCCCACCCCCACACAGGACGTCACTGCGTGCCCACGCCTGCGTCACTCACCCCAGGCCAGGCCGTTCGTCTCTCGGCTCCCTAATTGGGGCCCAATAACCGGCCTTGTTGTCTGCACAGTGCTGGCCTGACCCTGTCTGGGAGCAGAACAGCAGCTTCGACAGTGTGAATTCGCTCTGTTGGCACAAGCGAAAACTAGGAACAGAGACTTCCCCGCCTCGGAGACGTGTTCTCATCTTCTGAGGGCCGGGAAAAAGGGAAAAAGACACCGCAACAAAGGGCCCAAGTAAATGAGGGGAAAACCGTCATTTTGATGTGTCTGTTAGCAGAATCTTTTAAAATGGCTTCCTGTTTCCAATTAACAGAGCAAATACCCTCTAAAAAGAGCAAAGACACCCCCCCACACCCCAGGCAGGCGAGACTCGCTTCCCCGAGACGCTGCCCACTGCACTCCCGTCCCGGCTGCAAGACAAACCAGCTGGACCCTTACAGCGGTACTGGGGGAGAGGAAATGCTTCTCCAGGGACTCGGAGCCGACACCCACTCTCATCTGAAGAGCCGCTGAGCCCCCCGAGCAGCCGTTTCTACCATCTCGCGGCTGGAGAGCCGGCCCCCGAGTCACCCTTGACACGCTCTCGGCTGGGGCTGACCTCGGGGCCGACTAATAGCCACGAGACAGAGAGGCTGAAACCTCCAACACTACTGGTGACTGGGGAGAAGGTGCAGGAGAGACAGACAGCGTCTCTCACTGGGTGGCCTGCCTGCACACGTTGGGCAGACACACGCACACATGCACACACGCGCACATGCACACACACGCACACACACACGCACACACACCCACGCGCGCGTGCACACACACACGCACGCACACAGTGGGGTGCGGCCGCGAGCTCAAGCTGACGCCTGCTGCTGCCAAGCCCTCACCCGTGCCGCCAACAGCTGGTTCCCGGCCGAGTCTGTCCTCCTGGGAGCCTCGCTCCCCAGCCGGCCCCACCAAGGTGCCTCACACAGAAGAGTCAGGACAAAGTGACCCAAGTCTGGGACCCCAGAGACCAGCCCTGCAATCCGAGTGGCCTCCAAACTCCAACCCTCGGGGTTGTCTATGGGCGCTCTGGCTCCAGAGCCAGAGGGGGAAACTGAGGCATGAGAAGAGGCTGCGGGTTCCTGTCTCCACGCACAGGCTGCGCTCTCCCAGGGCTGTTTTTGGGTGCTGTGCCCCGCCTCCAATTGGCCGATTCAGGTTCAACCTCCGGCACCACATACGGTCACCCAAGCCCAGGCAGGAGCCAGCCCTGAGCACAGAGCTGGGAGTCAGCCCTGAGAACAGAGCCAGGAATCAACCGTGAGCACAGACCCAGGAGTCATCCCTGAGCACAGAGCCAGGAGTTAGCCCTGAGCAATGAGCCAGGAGTCATCCCTGAGCACAGAGCAGGGAGTCAGCCCCAAGCACAGAGCAGGGAGTCAGCCCTGAGCACAGAGCCGGGAGTCAACCCTGAGCACAGAGCCAGAAGTCAACTGTGAGCACAGAGCCAGGAGTCAGCCCCAAGCACAGAGCCAGGAGTCAGCCCTGAGCACAGAATCAGGAGTCAGCCCTGAGTACAGAGCCAGGTGTCAGCCCTGAGCACAGAACCAGGAGTCAATCCTGAGCACAGAGCCAGGAGTCAGTCCCAAGCACAGAGCCGGGAGCAACCCCTGAGCACAAAGCCGGGAGTCAGCCCTGAGAACAGAGCCGGGTGTCAACCGTGAGCAAAGAGCAGGGAGTCGCCCTGAGCGCTATGGGTGTGCCCACATGAAACACCCGGCTCATTTCCCACCGAAGGGACGCCGTGGACACGAGGAAGGGCGCCCGCGTCCCCTCTCACATCCATGCAAAAACCACAGGGGCTTCGAATATGCAGATGAGCTCATTAGCGCCGGCTGGAACGAGGCTCACAGCTGCTTTTCAGCCCGGGTTCTCCCCAGCCTTGTTTGTAACGGCCGCCAGTTACGCGCTGACTGATTCCATCCGTGCCGCAGGGCTGGGGCTGCACTGACTATCTTTGGCGGAGGCTTCTGCACTCGGCATGATCACGTATTAAATCAAACATCATTGTTTTGGATTGGTCTCTGCTTTATTTATGTGGATTCTCTTTGTCTCCCTCGCTGGTGCGAGATGCTCTAAGCATGAGGCATGGCTCTTACTCATTTTACTTAGTGTCTGGGGCCACCCGGCTGTGCGTAGGGCCGACTCCTGGTTCCGAGCTCAGGGGTCGCTCCTGGCGGGCCCGATGTGGTGCCGGGATCAGCCCGGGTGGGCCTCGTGCCAGGCAGACGCCCTCCCCGCTGGGCTTTGGCTCCAGCCTTTTACTCGTTTTTTTCCAGAGCCGCATTTCTCTTTCAACTTATGTCCGTGACATAACCCCCAAATTTAGGAAAACAATTTAAGTTGAACTACTTTGATTTATAGTGCTAAAAAAATAATAAAAACCAAGTCACAAGGAAATAGACGTGATGAGATGTCCTCCAGATCATTTATCTTCAGGAAAAATAACAGAGCGACTCCCAGGCAGGACTGTGGGGGTCGGAGGGGCTGCTGGCCGGGCCAGGCATGTGCACTGGCCACTGGAATGAGCCCCCTGCAGAGCCGGGCCTCCTTCCCACTGCGGGTGCCAGGTCCTGCAGAAGGGGCTCGTGGCCAGCGGGTGAGACCCGGCTTCCGTCTGTGTGGATGAGACCCCTCCCGCCAGGCTCGCCGGGCTAGCCCCTCCCCAAAGGCACCCACCACACCCACGGCCCTCCCCTCCTCATCTCGGGACCCCTCCTCCGGGCAAGGCTGGGGCTCGGCAGTGCCCGAGGCCCCTCTGGGACGGATGCCCTCGGGACATCCCAGTGTCCACACCCCTGGCGGCTGGGGTTCCACCTTCCTGAGTGGCAGGTCGGCTCCTTGGATGCCGCAAGTCAGGCCCCCCGTGCTCTGTCCCGTGCAGCCCATGTGCCCTCCCCTGGGTGATAGAAGCCAAGAAGTGTACCACCCCCACAGATGCCAGTGACCCCTCGTGGATGCTGCAGTGTGGGGTGGGGGACAGAGGGCAGCCGAGGGCACAAGGACACAGGACTGGCAGGGCCTGGCTGACCCGCAGGCTCTGTGTGAAGGTGGACTCAGGTGCAGGAACCTTCAACCCAGGCCCAGACGGGCACGAAGCCCAGGCCTGCCCTGCCCTGCCCTGCCCAGCTGCCCTGGGCATTCCCGGCTGGCCTGGTTTGTGTTGCGTTGCCCCCAGAGAGATGTGGCCATTTCACGCGGTGTGTGGACGGCAGCTGCGTGTTGTCCACAGATTGCCGAGAGGCTCTGGTTCCTTCTCAGGGCCGGGTCCCTGCGGCTGCCCCAAGGGGCGGTGAGGGCTGCAGGGTCGTGACTGGGCCAGGCCCCTCTTGGAGATGGAGGCCACCTGGGGCTGAGTGGCAGAGGGGCTGCTGACCCTCACAGAAGAAGCACCCCAACCCCGCTGGGACCGTCTGAGGCAGACCGTCTCACCCAGCAGGTGAAGCCAAACCCTTGGGTGGTCGCTATGGAGACCAGAGGGGCACCTGTGGGTGCAGGGTCTGTGCAGGGATGGACAGGGCTGTGGGTGCCCTGGACAGGGTGCCTCGGGCACAGACCTCTGCCTTCTCGGCTCTCAGGTGCCCCCGAGAAGCCCCTCACCATCCCTTAGCTCAGCACCGACTCCTGTGAGCGTCAGAGAGGTCAGCGTGCCGCTGGCAGCCGGGAAGGGAGGGGGCATAGGGAAGGGCTGGACTCTGGGGGGCTGGCCAGGGCCTGGGGCTGCTCATCTTCAAAGAGCATGTCCCACCCGAACCCGAGAATTTTCTGGGCACCCCCAGATCACCCTAGGACGGCCTGCCCAGACTCAATATGCCACCCACTGGGGACCTCCCCGACACGGCCCCGCTGGGCCCTGGTGAGCGTGGGCCAGGTCAGGACACGTGCCCCTGTCCAGCAGCCCCCGTGCAGGTCACCTGGTCACACTCAGCCCCGCCTGACCCGGCCACTGGGTGGGGCTGTTGGCCGGACATGGGCAGATGTCTGGGCCTGAGGCCATAGAGTAGCTCCCTTCCCTGGGGCCATCCGTGCCCCCGCCATGGGAGACCCCCTGCCATTTCCAAGTGACCAGCTTTTTTTTTCTTTTTGGGTCACACCCAGCAATGCACAGAGGTTACTCCTGGCTCTGCACTCAGGAATCACCCCTGGCAGTGCTCAAGGGACCATATGGGATGCTGGGAATCGAACCCGGGTTGGCCGTGTGCAAGGCAAACGCCCTACCCGCTGTGCTCTTGCTCCAGCCCCAAGTGACCAGCTTTGAGGGAGATTGCCCCTGGATAAGGGACATCCGCAGGGCGCTCGGTGCCTGGGAATCAGACCCGCTGTCATCCACGCAGGGTGTGACCCACGTAATTTCTCTTCAAATGCTGTGACCGGCCTTTCGCTGCAGACAAATTTGCTAATTCACATCCTTGTCAGCAAGTCAGGGCGCGCCTATGGCAAGGCCGACTCTAACCAAGCTGCCGTCTGGCAGCTCTGCTCGGCAACGGGGCAGTGTCAGGGCAAAACAGGTGGCCGGGACCAGTCTGGGGCAGAGGCGGGTCTGGTTAGAAGCCGCTGGCCACAGGGGGAGTGCTGCCCGGATGGGGTGCTGGCCACAGGGGGTCCTGGTGGGCTTCTCAGAGTAGCTGAGCAGGGAGAGTTGGATGAGCCAGGCCGAGCCTTGGGCAGGTTTCGGGAGCTGCTCCGAGGTGGGAAACAGTGGTCCTCCCCATCCAGGGCATCTGGAACCCTGGGGTCAGGCTGGGGCTCACATGGGCCAGCACATGCCTGTGTGAGGCTGCAGCTGACCCAGGTTCTTCAGGGCCCCTGCCCGCTGCCCTCTCTGGCACCGAGGGACGCTCCAAAGGCCGGAGCCTCAGTGGGACTATCCGGCTCCCAGACCATGTGGGCTGGACGTTCTAGAAGCGGCAAAGCACACCGGGGAGAGGTGGCAAGTGCACGCCCTTTGGGGCCCAGCGGAGATGAGGGACCCACCCAGGGAGGGCTCACGGGGCCCTGGGCCCAGGCAGGACGGGGCCCAGCTCACTGCTATGAGTGTGACCCTGGCAGGCCCCCGTGGGTGCTGGGCTCGGGCTGGCATGTCAGACAAGGAGCCTGGAGCCCGGGAAAGCTCCCCGGGCTCCCTTGGTGCCCCAGAACCATAGCACAGTGGACTCTGAGCCCAGATGCTCAGGGCCCTGTGCCCAGTGGGGAGGCCGCGTGTCCTCCACTGAAACAGCCCAGGCCACAAGGTCGAAATGGGGGTGGGAACAGGGAACTAGGAGGAAACAACAGGCGTTCCGGGTGTGAGAGGGACCTCCCACCCCTCACGCTCACCCGTCATCTCAGCAAGCAGGAGAGAGCCTGGGGCTGAGCACCCACAGCCGAGCCATCCACTGAGGCGGCCTGTGCTTGCGTTTGTCCTCCATGTCCTGCAGCGTGGCAGCTCTCTGGGGAGTGACCCACTCCAACAGTGCCTCCAGGCTTCAGGCCCAGGGCTGGGTGCCCAGCACCGCCCGGGGAAGCCCAGGACCTCCTGACTGGGTCTCTGTCTTTCTGGAGGCGCGGAGCCCGTCAGAAGCCGCCGGACCCTCCTTTCAACCACGTGCTAAGATAGTTCCGGCTTTGCAGGCCACAGGGGTGCAGTGGCTGCCACCGAACTTGCCCTCTTGGCAGGAAAGCGGCCGTCAGCCGTCACACAGCAGCAGCGCAGCCGAGTCCAGCGGAGACAGAGCCAGGTGGAGTCAGCGGCCTCCACGCCCTCAGCCTCCACGTCCTCAGACTCCGGATGCAGCTTGTGTGCCATGGTTCTGGAGAAGGCGGCGCTCTCTGGCCTGTCCACATTGTGGGAGCCCTTGCAGGGGACTGTGGGACGTTCCCAGGACCTGGACAAGGTCCCCAAGGAGCCCGGGGACTGCCCACACCGGCAAGGCACACAGCCAGCCCCTCCAGCAGGTGTGTCGGCAGGCCGCAGGTGTGGCCACTGTCATCTATGGCGGGGACAAGATGAGGCCGGAGCGGGGACACCGCCCCGCAGGAGCTAGTTGGGCCTTCAGGGAGGGCAAGGCCACCTCTGCCCAAGCCCGGAGAGGGGAGAAAGGAATGGCAGCCACAAATCCGGGACCCCCCACCCCCATCTTGACCTGAAGTCCCAGCGTCTGCCCAGAAATCAGACAAGGGGCTTAGGAAGGTGGAGGGCAGAGGCCAGGGGTGACCACAGGCGGGAGTGACCACACAAGGAGCAGGTCCAGGAGCCGGCTGCCCTGTCCAGAGGATGAAGCTCTCGAACTATCTCTATTCTGCCTGCAATTAGCATGGACAAGTGAGGAAACAGGACCCTCTGGCCGATGACCCCTGCCAAGAAGTGACGGAGGGTGAGATCCCACTGACATAAGTGGATTTTTTCTTTTTTTCTTTTTTTTTTTTCAATCTCTGGAAATGAAATGACTTTACAAATGATTCTGGGCCAGAGTCGGGAAGAGTGATGGTCCCAGCCCAGCCCCCCAAACTGAAACAAGGGGTGTAACTCACTGCTCTGTCTTTGGTATTTAATGACTCTCAAATAGTTCTCGTGTGCTTAATCTTGCATCAGCCGGGAAATGAGTGTGCTGTAAGGTCGATATTGATTCCATTTCAGGGGTATGGACTTGGAGGATGAGGAGCTCAGCCTAGCTCAGGGGCCTGGGGTCACCACCAGCAAGGGCAGGTCCACACAGGCTGGGGAGAACAGGCTCGGTAACACCGTACGTAGTCAGGGCGTCTGCTCATCCCACCCAACTGAAAGGCTCTAAGGGCCCGTGGCCCTCTGCTTGGGCCCCGGCGTTCCCACGGTGCCCACAGCAAATCTAGCCCTCACGGGGCTGTGGATGCTTTGGGAAAGGGGCTTTGGGAAAGTTCCTCTAAAAAAAGAAAAGAAAAAAAATCCTATCAGAGTTACTAAGCACAAGAGAAATGAAAACGTACACCCATACGGGAACTCGGAAGACAGCGCCAGACTGGAGAGATTCCGGCAGCTTGCAGAACGGCAGAAGCAGTTGTGTCGCGTGTACTAACAACAACCCAGACCACAAGGAAACTTAAAACAATTTCATCTGCAGTAGCACCACACAGACTAGCATCAACAATGAAACCCTGATGAATAAATATATCCAACAGAGCAAAATTCTTGTACTCGGAAAACGACAACAATTGACCAAGGAGATTAGAGGGAGCAAACCAACAGAAAGGCATTGGATACTCACGGACCGGGAAACTTAATATTGTTAAAACGTCCATAACAGCCATAGCCATCTATAAACCCAATGCTATTTTTAACAAAATCCCAATTTCAGCTTTTAAAACAATAGGGGAGGGAAAAAATCCTTAAATTCTTTTGGGAGCACAAAGGACCCAAAATAGCCCAGTTCCCCTCGAGTCCCTAAAATCATGTACCCTGGTTTCAAAATCTATTATAGAACTACTGTGATCAAAATAGTGTAGGATGATGCATAAGCCGTCAGAATAGGGAAAGTTCAGAGCAAGTGGCTTATCTAAAATCAACTTATCTTTGATGATCGTGCCAAGAGCTTGTGACGGGAGGAAGCTGAACGGCCTTTCGACTGATGGTGTCGAGAAGCGCAAAGGCCACACGCGTCCCCAAAGGGGCGAGAGAAGGAGAGGGGCAGGAGGAAGGAGGCTGGAGGACAGACATGACTTCCATCTTCCATTGGAAATGAAGATAGACCCAAAATAAATTAAAACATGACATCTGAAACTGCTAAACTGCAGGAAGAAAACGGGGGAAGGCGTCTTGATATTGGTTTTGACAATGATTTCTGTGTTGCAACACCAAAGCACAGGCAATAAAAGCCAAAATGGACAAGCGGGACTATTTTAGACTAAAGTGCTTCAGCCCAGCAAAACAACAAGAGATTAAAAGGCAGCCCAGAAACGAACCTGAAAACCATGCAGCCGAGAAGGGTTAATTTCCCAAGCATAGAAATAACTCACAACATGCAACAACGAAAGACAAATAACTCAATTTTAAAAACGGACGAAGAACTCTGACAGACTTTTCCCTAAAGACACGCCACTGGCCGGCAAGAGCAGGAAGAGAAGGTCGGCGTCGATCATTACGGGGGAGTCGTTTCAAATTACACCCAGTGACCACCCCACACTTTCCTACGATGGCTATCTTTTTTCTTTTTTAATAAAGCCAAGGGCTGGCAAGGTCGTAGAGAAATCGGCACTCTTGTACACTGTTAGTGGGGTGGAAAAAGATGCTGCAGCCATGGAAATAGCTCGAGAAGTCCTCAAACATTAAACCTGGAACTGCCCAGAGAGACAGCACAGTGGGGAGGGCGTTTGCCTCGCACGCGGCCCAGCCAGGTTCAATCCCCGGCAGCCCAGGTGGGCCCCCGAGCCCCACCAGGAGAGATGCCTGAGCGCAGAGCCGGAAGCCAGCCCTGAGCACAGCTGGGTGGGGTCCAAAAACAAACAAAATTAGAACTGGGATTGGATCCAGCGTAGATCACTAGGGTGTAGACCTGGTAGAACTGAGGTCAGGGTCTAGGAAAGCCTGTCCCAGGGCTGGCCAGCACTGGTCACCGTAGCCCCACTACACCAGCCTGTTGGCCCTGGTCTCAGAAGAACGAAACCGGGTCTATTCAGAGGTTGGAGAATGACTCAGGCTGGACAGTGAAGCCTGGGCTGCCACTGAGACCCCCGGGGTGGCTGGAGATCCTCGCTCTGAGAGGAATCATGCAGCCCAGGAGAGTCGCCCACCTGGGAGCAGAGAACGGCCACCGCGGGGGGTGGAGAGGGGAGCGCAGAAGCAGTTTCAGGGGCAGTGCCAGTGTGCCCTCTGAGTGCTAGTGCCTATACCCACCTTTGCTGGGTACACCTGTGTTCAGTGTGCACTACACACACATGCACACGCACCTATGTGCACACATGCACATGCATGCACACACAAAGTACGCACATGCATAATGAACACATACACACTACACACATGCACACATATGCACACACTCATGTGCACACCTACACACATATACACACATGCACACGTGTACTCACTTGCACACATGCACACATATACACACACGCACATGCACAGGTGAGCCAGAGCAGTGCTGGAGGTGGTAGACATACTCAGACTGACTGTGGCTCCATCATACAGTGGCGTTTGTCATCTCGGAGCTCACAAGGTCGTAGACACGGAGGAATTCTTGCTGCTGTCATCACAGACACAAGTCGTGTGACAGACAGTCAGGAAACCAGAAAAGGACCATGGGCAGAAGGGCAGGCACAGGGACCGCGGGCGGCCAGAGGGGTGGGGTCGCTCTGGGGTGATGAGAATGTTCAGAACTTTGGGCGAAGGCAGCACAAGTGTGTGAACTGGCGAGAGGCACTAGGTCGTGTGACCCCTGGTGAGACCGTGACTCACACAGCAGGGAGGCCGCGTGGCAAGAGGCCTTGGCCCTTCCCTCGGACCCGAAACCATCATCTCATGAGAAATAAAAAGGTGCAGACAGAATTCTAAATTGGGGTCTTATCATCCATTTCTAAAACTTGGGTTAGAGTTTTCAGATAATTAGTTGTCTCAGATGGCCTCCTGCTAGGCATTCTGCCTTTGGCTAGAACTTTCTGGAAGTGTTTAAGGAAAGGGTAAATTCAGGCATGCACACACACGTGCACACACATGCACACACACACGCATACACACGCACTCATCTCTTGACCTACTTCTGCCTCCTTTGGTTTGCAGCGAGTGGCAGGAGACCAGGGCAGCCCCTGTCCCCTCGGCTCTGTGCCCCTCGGCCTCGTGCCTGTTTCCTACTGTCCTTTGATGTTAGAAACTGGCATCTATCCAGTGGCTTTGCAGCTGGCCTCGCTCGCCCGGCCCAGAGCTGCCCCATGGCACTTGTCACAGGGGACGGAATCTTGAGGGGAATTGGGGGCCTTGGCAGCCACGCCTCTACTTCACAAACCCTCAGCAGCCGGCAAGGTCCTCCCTGCCCTGGCGGCGTGAGCTCCCACATGACCAAGGCACACGGGGACACGGTGGAGACACCGTGGGGGCACAGCACAAACACGGCTCAGCCGAGGCGCTTGGGCTGACCACACACAGTGCCGGGGTCCGCTGAAGCTGGCATCTGGGTTCTGAGAGACACACACGCCCTGGGGAAAGAGACGCCTGGACTGGCCCTGTGGGGTCAGGGAGAAATCCCCTTCCACCCAGCACTCCCGCCCACAGCGCTGCGCAGGCCTTCAGATCCAGGAGAGGGATTGTTTGCATCTAAATCAAACCTACATCAATATTGGAGCAAAAATAAACAGAGTCGCCACAGCCTCTGCCCAGCCACTCCCAGCCAGCAGGTGTCCACAGCCGAGCTGGTTGAAGTTCCAGCTGGGCTCGGGCCTGCATGTGAGAGTCTGAGCTTTCCACAGCAACCCTCTTCTGCCCGACGTCCTGCATGTTTTCTGGAACTTCTCAGGCATCTCAGGCCTGGCCCAGTCAGCTTAGCCTGTGCCCGCCTCCTGGACCTGCTCACGGTGTCTGTCTTGTTCCATTCGGTGGCCCCTGTGGCTCAGAGCTGCAGTAGGACCTCAGAGGACCCAGGGGTCAAGTACACTTCGACCGACAATGCATGTTTCTTGGACCCTGAGGCCATTGCCACTGGAAGGGCCAAGCCTGCAGCCTCCCCTCCCTGAGGCCCAGGTCCGGATGTGAACTTCAGGAGGACATTCCGCAGGGCTCGCCAGGGTCAGGGCATGGGCACGCGCAGTCCCCTTCAGTCCCTCCTGGCTGGTCCGGGGTCGGTTCCCCTCGCCGGTGTGGCCCGTGCAGGCGTCTGAACCTTCGGTGCCTGATTCCGGCATATCTCCCAGTGCACCGTGTTGAGCTGTCAGAATGAAATATTGCTGCAGACGGTTCAGCTGGCAAGGGAGGCTACTGAGGCTGCTGCAAG